GAGTATCTGTTTTGCCTTTTTGTGGTTTTTGAGGAAGAAGAAGCTTTGCATTTTTCTGTTCGGTCGCTGGAGGGGAAAAGGATTGCCCGCAATCAGGATTCCTCCCTTGAAGAGATTTCACTGTAAAGCTTGGCGAAAACAATCTAACGGAGCTTTTATTTTGCATTTTTTTTAATTTTTTAGCAATTTTGCGTCGGTTTCTCCAAACAAAATAGAAAAAAAAATCATAAATGAATTTTCCACAACATATTCATGTCGGTTAGAACCGACACAAAATTGATTTGTGTCAGTTATTCAAGCAGTTGACCAAAGCCGACTCGAATCTGTTTAGTGCTAGCAGTATTTGAGTCAATTCAATGAGAATGCTACTAATCCTGTGCTCTTCATTTGATAGAGAAATGGTAGAGCTTTAGATTAAAAGCGCTCCTAAAGACTTCCAGATGCATCACATGGTGTGAGACCAATAATAAGTCTTTTAGATGGTTGGTTGGATTATCATCCTCCTCACTATAAAAAGGACGCTCGTATTCCAGCATTAAGATCCCTTCGTTAAGTTTAGGACTGGATTGCGTGATTTCTGGCGAGGTGAAGCTAGAAGAGCTCTGCGATGCTTTTGGCCAAAAGAACTTCGCTAAGGTGCGTAAGAGTCCTTCTCCCATGGCTTGAGCTTGGTTTCCTTGGCCTTGGATCGAGATGCAATCAATTACATAAGGAAAGGTAAAATCTGTACGTACATGTTTCTGCTTAGAATGGCGCTCTCGCCGCCGAAATATGATGAATTTCGGCACCTGGGCTGCTATATTTCAACTTCCTGGGTTTTGTCCCAGTTCGCAGTCCACACACAGACGAACAGACAACGATATCTTTCGTCTTTTATTTTTGTTCATAAATTTTATTTTTATAAAATGGTAACGGTCGTAAAATTATATCGAGTGGTGTATCGGATAAGTCAATGACAATATTATGTGAGTAATTCGCGATTTGTGTAATCATTTCAAATCGAAATTTTTATACAGACTTGAATTTTGGTAGCCGATTTTTTCAGTCAAACCGACCAGTTGGTTAGAAACCAGTAAATATTTTGTGAGCAAACTCACCTGTTATCATTTATTTCAATTTAAAACAAATAATTTTTGTACAACGCATAAGGTATATTCCATGCGAATATTGTATATGCGTGATGTCAATTAAAGTTATTAGATTTAGAAATATGAATTAAGGAAAGTTTATTTATGACTTAGAAAAACCAGTAATAAAAAATCGTGAAATATGCTGATATTTTGGCCTCGGTTAGCATGCTAACCCTTGTAAGGGTTGGAAAATGGCACCCCTATTAATTATAGTTATTTTTGTATTAAATTTGTGTTGCATTTAATAATCTTTGGAAATTAAAAATTCATCTTAATTATATTCCTTTTTTTTAACTACCATTGCACCTGTATACTGAACTCATATTAATTACGTTCCTTTTTTGGAACTACCATTGCACTAATGCATCTACCATTGCGCTTGTACACTAATACCATTGTACACTAAAAAAGGAAAATAATTAATATGTGTTTTAAATTCATACAAATTATTAAATGCAACACAAATTAATTATCTTAAAAATCTATAATTAATAGGGTATCATTTTCTAACTCATTTAGAGGTAGGCATGCTATCTCATTAATGATATTCTAGTTGCTGAAATCCAACAGGAAGTTGTTGCGTTAGTGTCTTATTGAATGCTGCTGAAGGGAGTTAGAAGTGCTGCTTTGCATAGTCATTACCGCAGTGCTCATTGCTCAGTAGGTTTGATTTTAATTGTATGTTCTTATTAGATTCGGGTTCTTTACTTGTAACTATGAATTAGGAGGGGGTACGTGATAAATAAATATTATTCTAGTAAGGCACTTTTTTTATGAAATGAATACAACCAATTCTTACAAAAGAAATAAAGAAATAATATTTTTTATATTGATAATTTGATAGTGAACATAATTGCATTGTATTGTATGATTATGACAAGTTTGACATTGCAAATAAAACCGTTTTGACATTGCAAATAGATTTTAGCAGAAGAGTTCATGACTCAACCCGAATGCACCATTTTAAAACTCTCGATTAAGGCCTAAGTATAAACCTTAATAGGTTGCAGTACAAGGCAAGTATGTTTAAATATCGACCCGGGTCGGTTCACGTACCCCTACTTCGATAGTTTGTAACATTATCTAGTTGTTGGTTTTTGGTGAAAACCATTTAAAGTTAAAGTGCTTGCAAAGATAAATGGATTTGACACTAATTGAGAAGGCTTCACCCGGGTGTTTCTCCCACTAGCTAGCAATTACGACTTGATGGATCGATGGTCGTGTGTGGTGAGGGAGTTGTAAATCGTAGGGAATTCTAACAAGTAGCCAAAGCCACCCTCGTAGTCTCTAGGTCGAGGAAAGGGGATATGATCCAAGCCACCGATGTGACTCTCTCGACCTATTGACTAAGGATTGGTTAGACTTCACCCTCGAATCGGAGTTCGGACGACCACCCACAACCAAACCCTAGGTTCTAATACGAAATAGGAGGTTAGGAGGTTCGCCATGCATGAACCTAACTAGGAGACAATGAATTGCCTAAGAAAACCCCAGCATTCAAGCCTCTTTCAAAGAAAGGAAGGGGGGGGGGGGGTTCTCTCTACCTAGGTTAGAATGACAATTAGATTGATAGACTTTCAAACAACACAATCATTCATGAATAATACCTCCACATTCACATTAAACACAACCACACACAAATCATTCAATTCATACAAGCATTCACATAATTGTAGCTAGGGTTCACAAACACCTAAGTGAAAAAAGGGACTACTCCATGCTAGGAGAAGGGAAAACACAAGAGAGAAGAAGGGAAACCATCAAAGAGATGCTAGCTTTGCGCCTTATGTTGAAGAGATCCTCATTTGGGGGGAGGAATTCTCAATTCCTTGCTTGAAAATGAAACCCTAGCCTCTTCTCTTCTTTGTTTCATCACTTTCTCACTCTAGAAATCCGAAGAAGAAAAGGTTTTTCACACTAGGTCTCTCCCCTTTTCTCCTTTGGCTCAACCTCATTTATATACCCAGATCGGCTCAGTTCACGGTCTTAGTTCACGACCGTGAACTGAAAGCCCATACCATGAACCAATGATGAAACGCGCCGCATCATTTAAGTCTGTTCACGGGAGAAGGTCTGAGTTCGCGGTCTTACGACCGTGAACTGACTCGTGTACAGTGAAAGCCATATGTCCTCTGGATGTCTGGCAATTCACGGGAAACGTCCCCAGTTCACGGTCTTAGTGACTTTGAACTCACAACCCAAACCGTAAACTGATGTTGTTTCCACCGTTTGACTTGATCTTTCACCCTTTCGTCCAACTTCCGACTATGGGGTTGGTTCCACCTGCCAAAGCCTGAAAAACACCAAAGCAAGGCACAACCCAACGTAAAATCAAACCTCCGGGAGTAAAAATGTTTCAAACGAGTAAGCAACCTGGGGGTAAAAAGTGTACAAATGAGCCCGAATCACTCCCCAACACTTAGACGTTTGCTTGTCCCCAAGCAAACCATTTTCAACCTAGGTGATATCTCAACCTAACAAGATAACTTGGGGACAAATCAAAGGAACAGAGCGGTGAATCTCAATGAATATTTGGGCATCAACACATGTACCGCCTCAACAATACCGACATCCACCCACAAATGACATTCGATTGCATAAAAAATGGGCAAATGAAAGGTTCTCACTATGTTTACAAATCAATGCAAGTCTCGACCGGACTACTCACCAACCACAACTAACCATGCATAGAAATCAAGTCCAAGGAACAGACAACGGGGCAACATAGGTCCTCACCGGGGTAAGATATGAACATGCAAAACAAGAATGAATCACTCACTCTCGAGCAGTGGGGTCAGGACCTTTTTGGTGCAAAAGATGTGCACAATCATCAAGACTCAGCCCTATCGTCTCTCCACCACGGAGGCAACCTCTAAATGCTAGAGTTCATAGGATGGTTGTCGTCACTAGCTTGTCCGGAGGTCTTAGACACGGGTTCAAATGACTGGCAATTGTCTTGGACATGGGGAAAGACTTTTTGGGTGGTGGCAAACATAGCATGAGGTCCTACATTTTCAACCTAAAACCTAAGGTTCTACGGTCTTGACTAAGAACCTTTCCTACAAACAAAGGCCATTAGCACCGGCCAAAAACCACACTTCCCTTCTTCCAAACCACTACCAATCACGAACCACATTCAAGCACACACTTTCGGCCTATCTTGCTATCCACATTTTAAACTTAGTAGTGAAGGAGGTCATCCAACAATGTAGGTGTTTCAATGGCTTGAGTGCCAAGAAACCCTTCTAGATCATACACTTAGACTTTTGTGGCTACTCTCTACTTTTATTTACCCTATTTTATTACCTCTTTTCCGTTTCGTTTCTTTCTTTTTCTCTTTTTTTTCCAAGGGCTGTACTAGAGAGTTAAACACATGTCACTTCTTTCATTTAACGAACAATGATATACTTTTAAGAACCTTCCTCCAACACTACATTCTCGTTTCTAGCAAGAACCGTGCAAAACTACCTATGTAGGACCTCAATGGAGCTCTAAAGCGAGAACTCCGAGACACAAGGATGACTCACACTTTGACACAAAGAAAGGATGGGTGGGGGTCATTCTTTCAGTCACCATTATGCTCAACAAGCATGAATCTCCTAGCATTAGAACGACCCCTATAATCACACGACTCAAAGGGGTTGACTAGGGATAAAATGTTTCAAGAAAATCAACTTTTGGGCGTGGACTAATCATATGCCTCCATCATACTCACTAGTGACAACGGTGTGTTACACACCATGGCGAGAGGGATCTATCACACATGAAAAAGACGATCGACACAAGACTCACATGGCTACCTAGCCGGCCAATCATCTATTCCAATTTCAAAAACTTCAATGAATGGCAATTGTAATCAAGAAGTAACCAAGTCAAGACATCCATTCATTCAAGCACACATGAGAACTAAACTTTTGCACAATCCTAATGCACTCTCAGACATAATAATAATAGGATGCACTCTATTACATGTAACAACTCAAGATTGATGCCAAATAAGTACGAGATTTACCCATTAACCGGCATTTTGATCATGCATTGCTTGGAGCCCTCAATGTTTTTTCAAATTTGGGCATACATCAAGGCTCCAAGCATTAACTCACACACACAAGCATAATAGACTACTACCCCCCCCCCCCCCCCCCACACACACACACACATAAGCTCGACATTGCCCTCAATGGCGTAAAATAGGGGGTAGAACGATGTTACCACATGGCGTGGTGAATGACAATTGGAGAAATTCACGGGGTAGGATGTTTGAGCTTCAAGGGAGAAACAAAACAAATCACAAACACAAGAACATTCTCGCTCGAAGCGAGGTTATTACACATAACAAGGGTCCACAATACGATTCAACATAAAGAACTTACAAGGTACTAGTTCACACACTATTTAAGGAGAAAAGAAAAAGAGTTCAGAGTTTGCAAGTGGAGAAGTGGGGTGAATGAAATCGGCTCTGCCACGTGTCTCCCTCGATGGCTACCTCATCGTGGCAAGCTCACTACTCGTCATCGGAGAGGACGCCCTGGCCGCGAGCCATCCTCTCTACCAGATCGATGGTGCGGTCAATCCGAGTAGTGACTCCCACATAATATGCCTCAAAGCGATCCACTCGCTCCTCGAGGCGGCGTCTTGAGGTAGAGGGTCCGGCCCCTGATGATGATGCAACTGATAAAGGTGGTGCCAGGGGTCGCCGGCGGTGGCCGGGAGCTCTGGTGGGTGGCTTCTCCTGGGGAGGAACGCTTGGTGGGAGGGAGAGTCCCTCGATATAGCAAAATGGTCCGAAGACTCGAAGCAACTTCATGGCTCTTAAGGTATCCTCCCCAAATCCTATGGAGCGCCCTCCCTTTTTGCAACACTCGAGGTTGACATTGAAATGTCGAGCCAGGTGGGTGATGTAGGGGCCTAAAGATGTGACGTAGCATCGACTGCCACTAAGAGCCCTGCTGAAAGAGGTTGCCAGATTCGAGCCAAGGTGAAGTTGACTGGAGGGGTCCGTCATGGAGGTGAATGCTAGCAATGCTCTCACGGTGATCTTGTTTGCGCACATGTAGCTTGGGTAGAGAGAATGAGTAAGGAGTGTGTTGATGACACACCATTGTGGCTTGAGCGTAGATGCCGAAGAGCGGGATGGGACAAATCGGGTTTGGCGCATTTCTGGGAGGTAAAACTTCTTCAAAGCAGATTGCGCATCGAAAAATTTGAGGGTATCTGCCTCCCACACTTCTTCCGACCTCTCGGGATTCCCATTACTTTAGCAAGTTGGTGGAAAGACATTCTTTGAGGCACACCTTCCAAGCGGAAACTAACGAAGCGAGTCGGTTGCCCCATTGTCGGTCTCTTTCAGGATGCACAATGTGCTGAAGAACTCTACACACAGCTCCGCATAGATGTTGTCTTCGAACTGGAGATGCTGGCGCCATTGTGAGTGTGCCATAGCCTCTCGCATGATATCTCCATAGTAAATGCCATCGATATGAGTGAAGTCCATTTTCCAGTGGACTCCAGTCCAAGACAGTGCCCAAAACCTCACTTCCTTTTCAACGTTCGACCACCTTTTGAGCTCTATTAAGTACGGATGGCTCAGGTCAACCATCATACAACAACACTCGAAACACACACCATACGTAGAAATAACTGTCAGTTTCACATCAAGTGGGGAAAAGATTTCCCCCACACTTAGGCTTCCACTACGGTCCTGTGCCTTGAAGGCTTTCATAAGACCGACTTTTGGACAACTAAGCTCAAATGCGCACAAATCTCATCGAGGCATGGTTCTAGGTGGTTCACGGATTATCAACACATGAAATTAAACCTAAACCATACCCCGATGACTTCCAACCATCAACCACAATCATTGATCCACATTCATTCACATTTTCGCACTTGGTGGGCAAATTTCCCATTCAACCACAGATTGCACCAAAATTTATGCCCAACAAGGCTCAATTAAGTTCATGCATCATCTAACATCATTCAAACACATTATTCGACTAATCTTTCGCCCTAATTTCTAAATTCAAGCATTAATTCACAAAAATTCACCTCACACCCTAATCCGATTCTCCAACAATTGATAAGCAAAGGTTAAAAACAAACCTGGAGACTCAAGTAGGGTCGAGGTGGAAGTGATGAAATGACGAGGGAGCTGAAAATTTTCCACGAAAACTCGTTGGAGAGGGGTCACCGGAGCCTCGCCAGGAACTCGCAGGAGTCATGTCGGAAAAAAGAACTAGCTTCTCCACTGTTTTATTTCTTTGATATTTTCTTTTGTTTTTGTTATCCATAGAAAAATAAATGGAGGAATGAAGCAAGTTGAACCAGCGGTGCTAAAATTTACGAATCCTTAATGAACAAGGGACTCAAAGGAGTTTGTATCCAAAGAGTAAATTAGCTGAGGTACACCCTGCTGCTCACGATGGAGCTTCCCCAATTGTGTTGTTGCCATTCCTGTATTTAAGTCGGTTTGCGGAGCTCTTGATTCACAAATCTGGAGGTGTCTTCTCGCCCCACTTCTTTCCCCAATTGTAAGGGGTCGTTTGGAAGTTGCGATTGTTAAATAGATGTATTGTTGAGAATGCATGTATAATATTATACATGTATTGTCGAATTTGATGCATTGTAGAATACAACTTTTGGTATGTGTGATTGTGAATGTCGCATCAGCTAAAAGCCGAGACAAAACAATCTCAATTCAACTATCTCAACAATCGCAACAAAAAGTTGAGATATAACAATTACTCAAAATGAGTGATAGTTTCTGTCATATCATATAAACAATCCATGTATTGTTTCTGCTAAAAAAACAAAAAAAATGATGCATTGTAAACAATTCATGCATAATGACAATCTCAACAAAACAATCGCAACTTACAAACGATCCCTATATCTTATCTGTTCTACTTCTGAAAATTTTTGGTCATTCAACATTGAAAATTTTATAAATCCTTCAAAATCCAGAGATGGGAAGTCTCCAAATTAGTGGAAAGCGTAGCCAAGAGCAAGCATCCGCTAGCGATACACGGGGATGGTTCCAAAGCAGAGCTTTATTCTGAGCTCGAGGACTACAACGACGACATGTTCAGGCGGCCAAAGTGGAAGTGGTGCAGCTTGGTCTCCGACGCCGGCAGGAGGAAATTTTATTTTTATTTTTTAATAGTTTTGAAGATGAGGTGGAAATTATAAAAAGATTAAATTTTATTTTTTTATTAATTTTTAATTGTCATGTCACACATTAACGATCAACCATCAAAGTTGACTGCCACATCAGCGAAATTTAGCGGAGAGTAACAGAGAGTGATCAAACTTGAACTATTGAACGAATTTTAATGAATATGAATTGAATAAACTAATTTTAGGGACAAACGTAAAATTTTTTAATAATTTTACCCTAACAAATACAGATATATTACTATAAAAAAAGTATGCCCTCCCAATATATTGCGGGCCTTTCTTTTTTGTCCTTGGAATAGAATACACAATTTAAACTCCAAACACACCAAAAATATTGGCACAGTAGAAACTAGAAAGTCACCGAGACTAAGACAACTGCTATTGACTTTTGGAAATTCCGAATTCGCCCTTGAAATTCATCGTCCCTAGCCACACAAAACAATTGAACGGATTTATATATCATGTTGGTTTTTTTAACCTCCACATAAAACCTCAAAACGAGAAAGAAAGAACCGAATCTCTCTTCTTCCAAGGAAGGAGAGAGCCGACCAGATTTGAGGAAATGAAAGGCTTTGCGCCTCTAGCTCCCATTGCCAAGAGGTATATTTGTTAATAAAATATTTTTTTTTATAGTTTCCATGTACCCCTTAAATTAGCTTTGTAAATTAATTAAATTAGTTTCGTCCCGAGAAGATTGCAGGGCAAGGTTGCGGTGATCACAGGCGGGGCCGCCGGCCTAGGCGCGTCCGCCGCCCGCCTCTTCGCCCGCCACGGCGCCAAGGTCGTGATCGCCGACATCCAACCCGAACCGGGTCGGTTACTATCCGAAGAAATCAACTCATCCCAATCCCACGGAACAGCAGCCGCCTCTTACGTACACTGTGACGTCACCGTCGACGCGGACGTCCGAAACGCTGTCGACGCCGCCGTTTCGACCCACGGCAGGCTCGACGTCATGCTGAGCAACGCCGGCGTGATGGCCAGGCCGGACACCATGGCCATCGCGTCCACCGACCCGGACGACTTCAGGCGCGTGTTCGACGTGAACGTGTACGGCGCGTTCCTCGCGGCGAAGCACGCGGCGAGGGTGATGATGACGGGGCAAGGTGGTGGTGGTGGGGCCATCGTGTTCATGGCCAGCAACGTGACGGCGACGAGCTACGGGACCACCCCGCACGCTTACGTGGCGTCGAAGCACGCGGTGGTGGGCCTGATGAGGAACCTGTGCGTGGAGTTGGGAGGGAACGGGATCCGGGTGAACTCCGTTTCGCCGTTCGCCGTCCCGACGGCGATGTCGCTGGGGTTCACGGGGATGGACGAGACGGCGTTTAAGGAGGCGTATTACGGGAAGACGGGGAATTTGAAAGGGGTCGAGCTGGATGCTGGTGACGTGGCGGAGGCGGCGTTGTATCTGGCCAGCGAGGATGCCAAGTATGTGAGCGGGATTAATCTTCTGGTTGATGGAGGTTACAGCTTGAAGAGTGCCTGAGTTTTCCTTGTGTTAATTTTTTTCTTGGGTTGAAAACAAGATGGTTGTGTTATATAATAATAATAATATTAGTTCTCATCCCAGAAAAAAAGGTCGACAAAGAAAGAGAGCAATGGCAGAGTCTTGTTCCACATGGATATCATTTCTCTTGAAACCTTCCGGAGTGGATGTCGTTTCATGTGAAAGGTACCTGAGATGAAGAAAGAAGACGACGACAGTGTTTTAAGTTTCAGTTATTTAATATTTACTGTGGGTTGATTTAGACGAATGACGTTTAGTCACGTTTGTGTTACCGTTACCCAAACAGTAAAAGCTTGATCAGTATAAATAACAGAAACCCAGCATTACTACAGCTGCTGAAGATTCTAAAATTCTAATCCTCCTTCTCTTAAAAAGTTTTCATTGTATCAGAGCATTTCCAGAGAAATGCTAACCCAAATGGATGGAAGCACAAATACCAGAGGTCCTCTTAACACAGGACCTAGAGCTTCATATCCAGATTTTGGTAACCCATGCTACATTAGCCCTAATGAAAATCCTGCTCAATCAGTCATACTCATAGTCTTAGACAGCCCCAATTTCCAGAGGAGGTCTAAGGGTGTGAGGGTTGTGCTAAAATCTAAGCATAAGTTAGGTTTCACAGATGGTTCTATTCTTGCTCCTGTTGAAGCTGATGAGTTGTGTAGCGTTTGGGATGCTTGTAATACGATTTTTCTTTGTTGGATAACGAATTCACTTTAGATGGATATAGCTAGAAGTGTCATGAGTCATGATAATGCTCAGATCTTGTGGAATGAGTTGAAAAGCAGGTATGACATGCTAATGCTCTCAAGTTAGCTAATCCTGAGGACTATCATTCATGCCTTCGAGCAAGGAACTAGAACTATAACCCATTATTACATAGAGATGAAAGCTCTTTGTGAAGAGTATAGTCAGTTCGATCCAATAGTTGCTTCTGGGTGTGCACCTGGGCTACAAATTCCTTTTACAACACCTAAATTGTTGTTATTTACCCTTCATATTTAGATTTGTTTCGTACTAATTCATGTGTATAATCGTTTGAACAACGTCGATTGCATCCCTATTTCGTTCGTATTTGATTATGATGTTGTTTTCGTGTGCTTTAGACAATACATGCGAATTAGGTACGAAAAATGACACAAGTGTAGCAAAAGGGACAGGAGACTGATGATCACGACTTGGAGATGGAGATCACGACCGAGAAAACAGACTACGAAATCAAGGTGAAGATCGCGGCTTAGGAGCCCAAGATCGCGGCAACGAATCTGGAGGTTTAGAGCTCGAACTTCGTTAAGAAGCACCCAAGTAGAAACATAGAGTTTCCCCCGTTTGATCACGACCATAGTGTAAACTAATCGCGAGGAAGTTCACGACCGCGATCCAACCCGGGAACCCCTCGCGTTTGAAGACCAAAATGGTAGCGTTGGCAGATCACGACCTCTACGAAGAAGATCGCGACCGCGATTTTTGCCGTGACTGCGCGTGAACTTGTCCGTCCTCTGAAGGCTATAAATAGAAGACCCCTTTCCTCCATTTGAGAGAGCTGATTTGGATATATAATTTCTGGTTTTAGAGAGAGAGAGAGAGAGAGAGAGAGAGAGAGAGAGAGAGAGAGAGAGAGAGAGAGAGAGAGAGAGAGAGAGAGAGAGAGAGAGAGAGAGAGAGAAGGAGCCCTTGAGAAGAGTTGATTGTGTAGGCTCTTGAGTTTGAACACTGGATCTTGAAATTTTGATCTTTGTTGTTGGTTTTAGTGATATATTGGAGTGTCGTCGATGTTCGCCTGCAAAAGCGACGACTACTATAGAAGATTTTCATTTTGAAGAAGATACGACAACGACGTGATGGCTAGATAAAATGACGGTGGACTTGGGCGGAAGATTTAGGCTTGCTTCACGCTTTTGAAACAAATGTGTAAGTTATTTTCTCTGTATAATTAATTTGGATGAAATATTTTAATATGTCGTATATAAATGTTGTTGTGTTAAGGTAAACACTAAACATACTATCTTCATGCCACATCACATAATCATGTTTCATTACCATTTCCTTTAGCCACATCTACACTATTAACGAAGAAACTAATGGATGACTATTAGCCAACATATTAAGAGTTTTGGCTATTTTATGTTATTTCGAATAGTTTTGGCTATTTCTATCCACAACTTCAAAGGTTCGGCTATTTTGGATATTAACCCTTAATTTTTTACATATCAATCCTAAACATATTGATGGAAAATTACACTTTAGAACCTAATTTTCTCTCTCTCACATTTTGATAACTAGTAACTTTTTAAATATTACAAATGGGTCCACTGTTAAGAAACTTCTGGTATGCTTTAAGAAAATTATGGTGTGCCTCATGACAGTTATTAGGGGTGTTTAAATGGTTATCGTGGTAATTACCAAACTACTTAAGCCTAAATTTCATTAATCATGGGATAAAATGTCTTAACCAAATCATCCAAATTAACACGAAAACCAAATTAACCAAATAACATAACATTACATGAAACAATTATCCTGATAATGAATAAAACATAATCATATGTTATTAGTATCATAAACTATCATTATATATAAGTAATAATAATAAGACTAACCATCCATGATTATCATCATCATTCGAGTTAATACATCATTCATCATTTATGCACCTAATATAGTTAGCTTACAACAAACCCTTAACATAAATATAAAATACATATCAATACCACTCATAAGGAAGTTAAAGCTCTCTTACAAAACACTTAAACTATACATAGTTTGAGGTGGTTGTCATGATACTGTACGTAATCCTAAGATCTAGTAGCTGTCCAAAATGTTTTGGTTTAGTAAATAAGCAGACCCATTTAATTTTTGACCCATAATGCTTTGGTTTGTTGTGCACATGGAAATAAAATAGGGAATCACGAAAGTTTGGTTTGGTTGGTTGCATGGAAGTATAAATAATTTTGTATATTACTTGTATCATTAATTGGCTAATTGGTTTCATTGGTTAGCAGTGCTGAAACCAAACCAAACCACCTAAACCAAATAAGCTAAATTGTTTAACCAAACCAAACCAATTATCTAAATTAACCAATCCAAATTAACCGAATGCTACCGGTTAATATGGTTACCACAATAACTAGGGGTGGAAATCGGTACGGTATCGGTATCCAATACCAAATACTGAAATCCCGAATACCGAATTTTACCCGAAAGTCAATCCCAATCCCAATCCCTAAATAATTTCGGTATCCGAATCTCAATCCCTAAATATTCCGGTATCCCAATCGGTACTTCGGTATCCCAATCGGTATTATCGAATATGAAATAAATTATATTTGAAGTAAATAATTAAATATATAAATTAGATTTGATTATTTAATTTAGGACAAAGAATTAAACAAAGAGTCTTTATTTTTTTATTTGAAATAAATTACATTTGAAATAAATTACACAAAATAAGCAAAAGAATAGCATTGTTGATTTATTTTAAGACAGTGATTGGTGACAATTATTTGCCCAACCAAATGCGTGAATACGCAAGATTAATAACTTCCGTTTTTTTTTTAAAATTTCGCTTCTTATGGATATGAAAATAATGAATAATTTAGAAGGATACACTATAAGTTACCGACGATGAAAAGCCTATTGCTTTGGTTTTCATTCCTGAAAAGATATGCGTCTCAGCAGATTATGTTAGATCAAGATGGAAACTTAATCCTTTGATAACTCTCCCAAAAAGATTTGAAACTTCCGTTCCAGATTCCACCGGCTTGAACGGGATGTAATTTTAGGCTAGTGGAATTTTGAACGAACAGAATATCGTGCAGATAACGTGTTATTATTCATTTGCTTCTCTCCGTTTGTTTTTCTTCACTACGTGTTATTATTCATTTGCTTCTCTCCATATATTTTTCTTCACTACAGGTTAAGGGGCTACATAACCAAAAGAAGAAAGGGAAAACAATCATGCAATGCATTATTGATGACAAATTACTATTTAATACAAACTCGAATAATTATGCTATGCTACTACTATTTATATCAACATCCACAATTATATTATATATTGATAACAAACATATATATATATATATATATGGTGGCGTCTTCGGTGCACTCACTTTTTTGGGTGCATTCAGTGCACTCACTTCATAACCGTCATTTTAAACATGCGATTTATGTCAAAATGATGTCAATCATCACTTATGATGTGATGAACAATAAAGCACATGAATTTTCACAAAAACCATTAAAGATTTACGTTAATTTGAAGGATTTATGGTTTAGAGATTTAGGGTTAGGGTTAGGGATTATGATTTAGGGTTTAGGGATAGAAAACAAAATTGGAGGTCTAGGGCTTAGGGTAATCAGCTAATTAGTTGTTATCATATGTTATATCATCATATTACACTAATTCTACAAATTAAAATTCAAAATTCGACACTTTAAGACTATTTTTTGAGTTGGGTGCATTGAACGCACTCATTTTTGTGAGTGCACCGAAGTAGTCACCATATATATATATATATATATATATATATATATATTCACAACGCTTAACATGAATATATATATAAAAAAACATATCCATTGGTTGTTGCAGGCCGATACTGACAACCAGCGTGGTCTACAAATTATATACTATTCGTTTATTCGCACGTTAAATATTTGCCACTAGTGTTAGGTACCGAGTTTGCAAATAGTAAAACGACAATGGACTTGTTGGTCACTGAATCAATCCGCCAGATCTCATTATTGTCGGTTCTCTTCTCTCCCCCCACTTGTCCAAAATTAAATCAAATATATTCAGCAGAGCAGGTTTATGTTGACCCCGAGCTATCGATCTCGCGTGTTATATCTATCTTTTACATCCTTCCACAGCTTAGCTACCAACTCAACGGCAACAAACAATCAACAATGGCGAAGAGATTACAGGGCAAAGTAGCCCTCATCACCGGCGGAGCCAGAGGCATCGGCGCCGCGGCCGCGCGGCTCTTCTCCCGACACGGCGCGAAAGTCGTCATCACCGACATCCGGGCCGAGCTGGGCCGGTCCGTATCGAGCCAGATCCAGTCGGAGTCGGGCCAGCCCGTCACGTACGTCCAGTGCGACGTCACCAGCGATAGCGACATGCAGAACGCGGTGGACGCCGCCATTTCGATGCACGGCAAGCTCGACATCATGTACAGCAACGCCGCGGTCTCCGGCGCGGTCGGGCAGAACCCACTGGAGGAGAAGAAGGGCCCCGGCATCCTCCTGTCGGCCGTCGACCGCGAGGCGTTCCGAAGCGCGTTCGACGTCAACGTGTACGGTTCGTTCCTGGCCGCGAAGCACGCGGCGAGGGTGATGATCCCGGAGAGGAAGGGGAGCATCCTGATGAGCGGGAGCATGGTGACGGCGAGCTACGGTGCGGCGCCGCATTTGTACGTGGCGACGAAGCACGCGGTGGTTGGGCTGGCGAAGAACCTGTGCGTGGAATTGGGGGAGTACGGGATTCGGGTGAACAGCATCTCGCCGTACGGGGTGGCGACGCCGATGGCGGTGGAGTCGAGCGGGCTGGACGAGGAGACGTACGAGGGAATGTTCACGGCGATGGCGAATCTGAAAGGGGTGGTGTTCAAGGTGGAGGATGTGGCGGAGGCGGCCTTGACGCTGGTGAGTGACGAGTCGAGGTATATTAGCGGGGTGAATCTCTTGGTCGACGGCGGCCACTCCTTGAAATCTGCTTGATTGTGAATCTTGAAATTGTTGGTTGGGAGGGAGGGGATTAAAAATTGCTGTGTGGTTTCTTTGTAATCTTTTCGTTGGGAAGTGAGTTACAAATAATGCAATACCAGCTGTTTACTTTTTTCTGTTACACTGTTAACAAGGCAACTGTTTAATTTAAGTTTATTATAAGAAAAAAATATATAATATAGGACTAATACCACTAGAAATACCAACGTTTAGTAGGGGTAGAGGGCGATTGGTTCGGTTATCGGTTACCGAACACTGATCGAGGCCCCCTTCTCGGTTAACCGACCATCAACTGGTCGGTTTAGCCGAAATAACCGAAGCAAACTCGTAGCAGGGGGCGAGGGTCGCCGACTCGCAGCAGAGGGCAGGGTCGCCGGATGGGGGACAGGGGCACCGGGGGATGGTGCGGAGGAAGGAAGGCGTCACGGAGCCTGGGGTCGCCGCTATCTGGGATGGAGGAAGGCGCGGAGGAGACGATGTTGTTGTCTGCTGTCTTGGACGGAGAAAGGGGTCGCGCGGAGGAAGGCGTCGCCGGGGATCGTCGGGTTGTGGAGGGTGACTGGGGTTTGGGGGTGAACGAAGGAGGTGAACGAAGGGGGTGGGTTGGCTGCTGTTTGGAGGAGGAGGACGAAAAATTGAAGGAAGAATTAGGGTTGGGGGTAATTGTTTATGACATAAAACGACGTCTTTTTAGGTAGGTTGGTTATTTTCGGTTAGTCGGTTAACCGCGGTTAATCATCTCCGGCTACTCAGTTAGTATAAAATACCCTCCCTCCTACCAGACACGATCGAGGTAAATAACCGACGGTTTTTGGTTAGCTGCTAACCGATCGGTTATCGGTTAAACCGGTCGGTTCACCGCTAATAAAAAATCGATCGGCCACCCCTAACGTTTAGCGAAAGTGCCATTTATATTATAAACTTTCGATATGACAATTGTATACCAATCGCTATGTTTTCCGTTAGGGGTTAACAGAAAATATAGTCAGCAATAACATGACAGCTAACGTGGAAAGTTTTAGTAAAAAATAAATGTAAAAAGATTAAAACAAAATAAAAAAAGCAAAAACAAAAAACTATCATCGCCTTCCCCTAATCCCTCTCTCTCCCCTTTTCTAGATCGCCAACGTCAATCTCCAGCCGCCGACTCATTCTACCCCGTGACTCACCAGATATGGGAGAATCTCCATAGATCTAGCGGCGACAGGAGGAACAACGTTGACTGGTGATGAAACTCCATAGATGTAGCGGCTTCTTCAAATCAACGTGGATTGGTGATGAAGGTGGAGCGGAGTAGTGGCGATAGCGGATTGGTGATGAAGCTTGCATCGTCGCACTAGAGAAGGGAGACCAGCGACTGAGGAGGGAGAATCGCACACGAAGCCCAAACCGATTAAGAAGTCCAAACTGGATCCCATTTATTCAGACCCGTCTGTCGGCGAGCGATTTGCTCTTAAGACGTTAAATCGAAGGAGGCGAAGGAGATGACGGAGGCGGTGAGAATCGGGAGGAGAAATTGTTTAGCGAGGCGTAGCAGTAACTTGTGATGGCAACAGCATTGGAGTCGCCGTTGTGACCAGCAGTGGTGAAGAAATCGGGCCGCCATGACAAGCATTAGTGGCGGTGGAGTCTCCGTCGCGGGTCGCTGCTGCGTAATCGGAATAGTCACAGCGGGAGGGGGAGGAGTCCCATTGGGTGGGTTAATTTGAGGGAATGGGTTAATTTGAGTTGGTGAGATTATTCTGGTAATTGGAAGGGGTGGGGGTGGGCTAATTTAAGGTGAGCAGCTTCCTCTGATAGTGGTCGGCAGAGAGAGAGAGAGGGTTGATATGGCACTTAGATGGATGATAAATGTTGTCGTGTCATTAAGAGTCAAACATGTTTTGACTTCTGTTAGCTCAACCGTTAACTCTAACGGTCAATAAAAATTCGTGTAACACAAATGACAGCCATTCAACACAGACTGGTTGGCCAACTGTCAACACAGATGGTTCTGTCGTCTACTCTCCTTCAAGCACGGCAGCAAGCGGCGTCGTGAGGGGCGACGACTGTTTCATTCATGCTTTTTCTTTGAACCTTGGAGGGGGATTTAGTTACCTGTGTAGAGCTGGCTGGGATCGCTTATGGTCTCAAGATTGCTTAGGAACTAGGGCTTAGGAAGGTGATTCTGCAGTCAGACTTGCAAACTGCCATTCTGCTGATTCAATCGGCTCAACCGAACAACCCGTATTTCGTTGTTGTGAGGGAGATTAAAAGCTTGATATCTTAGCCATGGCAGGTCTGCATTGAGCATATTTCAGGGAAGCAAACTTTGTAGTTGACTACCTAGATTCCCTTGGTCACACTTTTTCTTTGGGAGTCCATTAGTTTCCGACTCCCTAATTTCTCATGAGCTACTGGCTGTATTTTGATTTGATTGGGGTGGCAACTCCTCGTTTTATTAATGGATAAGGGTTGGGGCGCCACTGAAACATAAAATAAATGATAAATTAATTTTTTATTAATTAAATTCACTAAAACGACATCATTTTGTTTAGAAATTATAAATCGATCATGCCGGTCATACTGGTAGTCTTCACACCAATTTCATGAGCAGTATCAGTTAAACCATATTCAACTGGTGGCGCTAGCCGACGTGACAACCATGCTTTCCTAGGAAACGTGACAATGTAAGACTTAAAAAAAATGGGAAAATGATTTCAGCTCTCCCAAGCACCATCGTTTCCTTCCTCCTTCACTATGCGGTCAATAACACTATAACAAGCACCATCGTTTCCAGCTACCGCTCCCAAGTGTCGCTTCTAGGCTTCCCGCTGAAGGACGCGAGTCCTTGGAAATTGAAAAAAGAAAACCTCCAACATGGTCATTTCCTGTGCATCAAGACTACTTTCACTGCACATCCAGACTCATAAACACTGTTTCGACTCGGAAGGGATTTCGGTGTGGGCGGGTGCAGGGAGGTCTCTCCTTGGATCCTGACGAAATTTTGGTTGTTTGGTTGCCTCTGTAACTCTGATATGACTTCTGGTTGGGGGCAGAGAGAGGATCCTCACTCGCGTTGGCCAAGCGGAAGTTGTTTGTAAACTTTGTACCTAAGGACTACAGTCTCACGTGGGGTCTGGGCATAAGATATTTTGTAGTTTTGCTTGGTGGGCATACCACCACGTTGCTATTCCAATTTTGTCCACTCATTTCAGCTACCACAACATTGGTTTCTCTGCCCGTCTTCTCTCTCTCATTTTTGTACAGAAAAAACAATATTAACAGCACAGCCTCCAGTAGCACGATAGTATCTCTCCCCATCCCTCTCTCTTCCTCTCTTTCCCACTCCTTCGCCATAGCAGGCGAAGTTCTCAACTGGAGAAACGGATTTAGAATTCATTGCAGGTATTGAAAACTGTTTACTCTGTTGTTTGCTTTGACGACTTCTATGTTCTAATTTTACGTTTTCTTATGATTCATGCAATGCTATGGGGATATCGCAGCAGCGGCGAGAGGGATGGAGTTCTGCTTTTGCAGTGATCAGCCACAGCGGAGCGTTGAGTTCAATCGATCGAAAATGAGGTTCGCTTTTCCACTTCTGCATTTGATTGGAGCTTACTTTTCTCTTAAAAATTCCTACTATTTGGTTCTTAGTGGGTAGGCTCTCTCTTTTTTATTTCGGCATTTTTGCAACCATACTGGGACCGTCTCATCCATCATCTTCGTCGAAGCGACTACTCAGATCAGGGATCCCTACGGGGCCTCTAACTCCATATCTGCAGGTATTCTCTTTTGCTGTCCTTTAGTTTTATTCTCTCTTCCAAACGTCGACATTCAATTCTTAAAGTGATTCTCCTCTCCCAATCTCGAAATAGATCCATTCCTATGTTTTAATTTGGCGTATTTCTCCTGACTTGAGTTTTTTTTCCTGTTGTGTTATTAGGTTATGAAGCGAATGGTCTGAGTTATGAAGCGAACGATCGATTTGGCGAGTTTTATAGATTCACGGTTTCTGTTTTAGTTCCAGGTGATTGTTTGGTCTTCCTGCTCTTTTTATTTGGCATTTCTTGGTCCTCCTAGGCGTGGTCACCTTTTCCCTCATGCGGTTTTGCAATATTGACTCTGCAGGTGGAGCTACTCGCGATGCATTCAGTTCAATTCAGAAATTCTGGCGAGGGGAGGTGGTCAAGGGTGCCATGATTTTAGTGGTGTTGTCCTTCTCCTGTTGGAACATCGTTGTGCCTCCTCAGTGATGCAAGATATGCATATTTTGCATTGACCTTTATTTAGTATTCGTCTTGCTATGAACTTCTTTGCTTATGGAGTATCAAAATGCCATGGGTTGATTAGAACAGATCGATTCTTCTAATATTACCTTATCAGGCCTGTGTTCTCATTTCTGTTAGTGGAAGTGTGTTTTGCCTCTTGGGAAATCTCCCCATGTAATTATATATTTTCATGTATCTCAATTAGCTTCGCAATCAATCACCCAATAGATTACTGGGTTTACATGATGTTTTATGTTTCTAAATAGTGCATCTCTTTGACCTTTTAACAGACTAAATTAGTCGGTGTGTGTTTTTGTGGAGCAATTTTTCTTGCTTGCGTAATCAAAAGTAGGCAAGTTTCTTTGTAAATGTGGTACAGAGGACTTTTTTTTGCTCTTAAATTTAAATGTTCCGGGCATTTATGAAATTTATAGTTCTCAGTTCCGTAATATTAGCTTATATGTTGGTGTGATTACTTCAGGGCTAGAAGGATTTGGAAAAGTCTCCTGAATAAGCTTTGAGTATGCTTTTGGAATAGGATGATTCTTACTCCATCTGTTGGGTTCTTTTACAGGTCTCTAAATGGTTGATGCCCTCTAATCAGTTGAGTTTATTTGGATTCCAATTGAAACACAACCTCCTGTTCGTGACACCATGGAAGAAGAATTACATTTTTCAGTTGCCAAATTAGGAATGAATGAGTATGCTGTTGTATTCATATTAGGAATTCAACACACTTGGCCATAATTTAGCATTGTTATGTTTCACGTCTTCTCTGGCCGCCTAACTTTGTCTCTAAT